ATTACACACTCTCTCTCTCTCTCTCTCTCTCTCTCTTTCAAACTTTATATTCATATATTCTATGATTACATAAACCATAAGCCGTTGGTATACATTGAACACAAACATAACCACGACTATAATGTTACGGATAACCCCTCCCTCTTAACCCCCTTATGATTGAATCGTTCATTTGAATCACACGTTTGAATGAGTAAAACCACTGAATTAATCCGATAACAGCCTCTCCGAGCCTTCGCTAGACGTCGACAACTCGTCGTCATATAAACCACGATTAGTGCCAAAACTATCGTCGGTTATAGAGTTGCCGATTGTCCACACGTTAACCGCCGACGAAGACTGTTGTCCGCCGAATGTGTTTAGTAAATGAGCGGCGTTTGCGGCGGCGTTGACGCTGTCCGGGCTCTGAGCGGCCAAAAGGTTGGCGTAATCGTCGGGAATTGTGGCCAAATTTATGTCCGACAGTTTGTGTTGGATTTGTCGCAACTCATGGCGACCAAGAAGTAGCTCGTAATCGGTGTGCGCTTCGGCCAACTCACGCAAGTCCGCCAACTTTAGCAACAATTTCGGATAGAGTAGGGCTGAGACGCGCGGGCCGTACCTCCAGGCCATATACGACTTCAACAACAACAGGTACTTCTCCTGTTCGCTCTGCACGAGTTGGCCAGCGGTGAGACCCTCGCGATCGGCGGTCAGAAGTATGACCAACGATAACAATATATACGTCGGTTCGTCGATCCGTAACCTCTTCACCGTTTTGATGAACTGCATGTGCTTTTCCAGCAGATCTTTGGTCAGCAATGTCTGCAAACTGTCCGAATAGATAACTCCGGTGTCGTATCGCCAGTGTTTGCCCCGCATATCATAGCTGAAGGCCCCGCGAAGGAAACACAGCTCCAGTACTCCACCCCTTAGTAACACTTGTTTGTCGGCCGTCGGTATCGCACCGAATGCCGGGAATGTCTGTACGAATAGTGCAAACTGTTGTATAGCTTTGAAGAATATTTGCAACACATCTATAGGCGCTCTCATGTTGTCGGCGGCCGAACCGTCATTACCAGCGCCGTCATCGCCGACGCCGTTGTTTGTGATGTCGAATGAGATTTCTTGCGAACATTTCCGGATTTGATTCATTATATTCTCGATTAGTTTTACCTTAATTTTTCATATAAATAATATAAATTTATAAATATCACAAATTATTCTGTGTTTTACACGAGAATAGTTTACCTCATCTATAGTTAAATATGTGTTAATTTGACTGATATTTGGCTGATATCTGTTTGGCCTATCGTTGTTATATCTAAACTCGTGGTGTTTGGGTTGTGGTGTATTGGGACCGAGACCTGTGTCTTCGTGTTTGCGTTTTTCAATACGATTCTTAAGCATTTGCATCCTTTCCTCTTCGCTCATAACCCAAGTCTTCTCCATTCCTATTGCCGTACATTTCTTGAATCTAATCCACAATCACATCGTATAGACATTTCATTCAATTATTTTACAAATGTTGAGAGAGAGAGAGAGAGAGAGAGAGAGAGAGCTGTTACCTGCAAAATTGACATGACTTTCTAGAGTTAATAGTGATCTCACAATTCCTATCGTAAGGGCAGTGAAAGTTAAGAAACGCGTCGTTTTGTACACTTCTCCTGAAAAATGCTTTACAACTGTCGCACGAAATGCCGCCAAACTGTGTATGACATCCAGAATAGAGTAAAGCAATCAATTAATAAATCAATTAAATTATATTTTTAATAATATTAAATTATGTGCGTTGAATCATAATTTGAATTTAAAATTTAACGATATAATCTTGTTACATATCATTGTAAAACAGTATAGTATTTTAAAAATTTAAGTCCATATCTTTAATTAAATGTGGAATATTAATTTACATTTTATCAATATTACATATGTAATTAGGTAATTCAAAACGATCTTGATATATAACCCAGACCAAATACAATACGGTATTATAGCTGTACGCGTGTCATAAAAAAAACTCTCAATAATTGGCATTTAAATAAAACTAAATACAATTCAATCGTCTAATTATCTCAACGCACGTAAATGAATAAATGTTTGGTTATAATGTGTCTTACATGATAACTCTTTGCCCGATCGCCGCAAACTCTGCACACTTTGATCAGTTGCTTATGATTGTTAATATTGGACACAACAAACTGATTGGTGGCCGAAGTGGACGGCGGCTGCGGTGGCAGTGAATAGTGTTGTGTCGGACGAACACCGGCGGCGGTCATCGGGTTATACCCGCCCGAGACTGTGGATGAGGAGTCTTCGGACGACATAACACTACTGGTTGTGCTGCCATTGGGTGAAAGGGGGGCACTCATACTCATCACTGTCAACATTAGGCGATGGCGAGTTGGATCAGTTGTCCGGTGGTTAATTTTGCCCTTTTATTATAACGCTGTTATTTAAAACATTGTAAAAATTGTTTTTGAGTGATATTAATTTTATTTTTTAGCTATAAATTTATTAAATATTAAATATAGTTATTAATTAAAATATTTTCATTAAACTAATAGATAATATAGTTTTGTCGATCATTTGCGTGAATATTAGTCCTATGAGGCAAATAACGAGTGGTATTTCATTATCTCATGACTTGATTACTACAATATTATGATATTATAATGTGTTTTATTAATGTTTAATCCGATACTTAAGTTGCAAAATATTTAACCTCGTTCTCTGATTTTTTTAGTCACAAATCAGACAAACATTTGTATAATAAAAACTTCAAATAATAGCACAAATTAATTATAGATTACAAATATTATAATTGTATAATTCAAACAACTATTTTATACAGTATAATGAGTACAACTGTAACAACAAAAAATGATTCACAAAATAAAAATATAATTGAACATAATAAAAATATGAAATATTATAAAAACTTTGATAACAAAAAAAGCCTAAATGTAAAGCGATTTCACATAACTTTTAACAAGAATAACATTTTAGCAAAAGGCGAGAGAGTTTTGATATTACACTATAAGTATATAATGGGTTGCAATCGTATAGTAAGTCATA